TTTTTTTTTCAAGTTCCTTATGACTACATGTTACAAAAATGGTCCTCGTTCAGTGTTACAGTATTTTTTGTTTCTGAAAATACATCCTTTGGTGTTAGTAAATCTGTATTTTTTAGAACTATTGGTAATAATAAAGAACATATTTATTGATAATAAATAAAGAACTTATTTATGCAGCCCTTTAACTATTATTAATCAAAAATGAAAAAAGGATAAAACTTTCTCTCTGTGGACTTTCTTGTTCTGCTTTGGTAGCGATGGGCATGTAGTAGAGTTATTAATAACATCGGTTAATTTCACTTCTGTAATTTAATTCACTTCTTTAATCCCTTTTTTTTCTCCAAGCTAAATATACCGATCAAACAAATCTTTAACAAATAACCTAAGAGGAAGGTAAAATTTAACATTTTGGTGTTTAAAATAGGCTTCATCTTTTCTTTTAAATGATCAGACTAACTAAATGAGAAGTTCAGAATTATGGGTGGCTCACTTACCTTTCAAATCTCTTTGGTAAACGTTGACAGGTTTTCATAGTTACTAACTTCCTGGTTCCTGCATCTTGTTGTTTTGCAGTATTCTGATTCCCTGAAAAAGATGGATCCCGATCACTTGGTGGCATTGGTGACAGAGGTTATACCCAGTTATTCCTGCTTAGTTTTTTGTCCCAGTAAGAAGAACTGTGAAAATGTAGCAGAAATGTTATGCAAATTTTTAAACAAGTATGTTAACCTTTTACAAGCATTCTGTTTTATTTATATTGTGAATTATAGGCTGTATTTTTTTTTCTTTTTTTTTTTTGGTCTTTTTGAGACAGGGTCTTGCTATGCAGTTCATGCTGGTCTTGAGCTCACTTTATAGCCCAGGCTGGCCTCGAACTTGCAGGGATCCTCCTTCCTCAGCCTCCTGAATGCTGGGATTACAGGCATGGACCACCACACCCAGTATATAGGCTGTATATTATTTTTTGAATACTCATTACTTCTTGCATAGCATTATATTTTTTTACTAAATTGTGAAGGAACTGACCCTGAAGAAAGAAAATTTAACTGTGAAATTCACATTTAAAATAGAAAATTCCCGCTGGTTGTAATGGCACAAGCCTATAATCCCAGTACTTGGGAGGCTGAGGCAGGAGGATCACTGTGAGTTTGAGGCCAGCCTAAACTACATACGTAGACCCTGCCTCAAAAAAACCAAAAAGTAATAATCACAATCATAATCATAATAAAATGGAAAATTCCCAAGGTTACAGTAAGAGAATGCTAACCACTATAAAGTTTTAGATTAGTGATTCAGAACCTTGACAGTTCACTGAATCACCTGGGAGACTTTAAAAATCCCAATGTCCATGCTGCTTCTTGGACAGATCAGAGCCTCTGGGAGTGGGGCCCAGGCACGTCCAGCGTAAGCGGACTGATGAAAAGACCGCTCATGTGGGGACAAGTCGTCGTCATCGTCGCCTTCTTAGGAGTGAAGTGCCGTGGTTGTTTTCTTAGCCAGCTTTACACTCACATCATGTGGATGTTTGAGTTTAATTTTCTAAGTACCTAAGAAATGTATTGTTTGGAATTTTATGACTCTTCAGTGTTGAATTGTTTTACTCAGTATAAAGTGACTTTAAATACTCATAGTTCAACAGCCGGGCATGGTGGCACATGCTTGTTATCCCAGCACTTGAGAGGCTGAAACAGGAGGACCTTGCAAGTTCGAGACCAGTCTGGGCTACAAAGTGAGCGCAAGGCCAGCCTGAACTGCATAGCAAGACCCTGTCTCAAAAAGACACACACACACAAAAAAAAACCCTCATAGTTCAGCATTTGTTCTGTACCTGTTTATCATGTGCGTTGTTTCATCATTTTTTTCAGACTTTTTCTCAGCTCTTAGCTAGGGCTACACACTGCTAAGAGGCCCTTAACCTGGATTCTAATCTAGTTGTCCTCCACCTCCCTCCCCAGGCTTACTGCCATAGATTTGTTACATTAGGATTAAATTCACTGATAAGATCAAGGGCTTGCTCATTTGGGTAACAGATAATCTACTTTTACCATGGTGAATTTCCATGCAAGTATTCTCAGTAAATCATCTTAGAATAAGACATTAATACACTCAGTAGCAGTTGGGGCTGGGGATTTAGCTCAGCAGCACAGTGCCTGCCTGGCAAGCGCAAGGTCGTGAGTTTAGTTCCCGGTACCGGAAAAAAAACAAAAAAATATATATATATACACTCAGTAAATCATTCATTTTCTTAGGATAATTTAAGATATTTAGATATTTGAATTACTTTCCTTAAATAATTTAAGGTGCTATGATAGTTAAAGTAAGATTTCTAAAGTCCTAGTCTTTGGACAGTACTTTATCACGTAACCATGTCATAAGCATGATCTAATACATGTGCCCATCTCCACAGAGGAAAATGCCTCAAAACAGAACAAAGCATGACCTATGAGGATATATATACTAGAGAAAAAGCAATCATGACATCTAGAGCAAGGGTCTAAACCTAGTGTCTGCTGGGCGTGGTGACACACAGCTGTAATCACAGCACTCAGGAGGCTGAGGCAGGAGGATTGTTGCGAGTTCGAGACCAGCCTGGGCTACAAAGTGAGCTCAGGGCCAGCCTGGACTGCATACTGAGACCCTGTCTCAAAAAGACTAAAAACAAAACAAAAAAAATAAACATGGTGTCCAAGGATTTGCAGGAAATATGGGAATGAACATCTATGAACCATCTGAAATTGTGCGCAATGTTGTATTTTTTATTTGAGTAGTTGTATTTTTTGTTAGCTTAGTTGGATTTTTAGAGGGTTCTGAATCCACAAGAAGACTTAGTGAAGTCAGAATCAAAACCCCAAGAACGTGTTAGGTACTTGTGTCTGCAGTACTCTGTAACAGATGTGTGCACGGCATGGACTTGGATGAAAATGATGAGCGCTTGTGACTGTCAGATCAGGAGTTCGTGCTTCTCACAGGTCTGTTTTCCAGGGAATACCTGAAGCACAGAGAGAAGGAGAAGTGTGAGCTGATTAAGCACTTGAGGAGCAGCAGCGGGGGCCACCTGTGTCCTGTCCTGAGGCGCACCGTGCCCTTCGGAGTCGCCTACCACCACAGCGGCCTCACCAGCGAGGAGCGGAAGCTGCTGGAGGAGGCTTACTCCGCCGGCGTCCTCTGCCTTCTCGCCTGCACATCCACTCTGGCGGCGGGGGTCAACCTGCCTGCTCGCAGGTAGGGGACGAGGAGGAGCTGCCGGCCAGCTTGCCGGGAGCCAACTGTTGCATTCTCAGGACAGGATGAGAAGTTATCAAATATTTGCTGAATTGATTGTTTGGTTTATGTCCTTTAATATTTTAATGAAAAATTAACATTAGATTTCCTTGTATTAGAATTCCTTCCTTCTTTTGTGCTCTCCCTGTCTGGTTTTTTCTGTTGTTGTTTTTTTTTGTTTGTTTGTTTTGTTTTTTTCCTTCTGGTACCAGGAATTGAACTCACGACACTGCGCTTGCCAGGCAAGGCGCTGTACCGCTGAGCTAAATCCCCAGCCCGTAAGGCCAAGGTTTGACTCCAGGCAGTTGGATTCTGCGGTCCCCAAATCCAAGATGACCTGCTTTTCACCCAGAGGGCCTAGCACTTGCTGGGTGCTCACAGTCCCCCTCTGCACTTGCTGCTGAGAGCAAAAGCTGGCGTTATTTTTTTTCTTCCTTTCTCCCATCATCTGAGTCCTCTGCTTTCGCACCTTCAGTTAGACAGAGTACAGGTCTCTCAGGCTGAGCTTTCAACTCTCTTTTCTTACACGTTTTCATTCTGTTTGAACTATGAGATTTCTTCAACTTTGCATATTTTAAAAAATCTGTAACTATATCCATAACTGTGTTTGTTTAGTTTTTAGTTCAATTTGCAAGCAAATACTAATTTTTGTTACTTTGCAAGAATTCTGTTTTAGTGCACCTTCCTTATAAGTGCTGTTGTTAGTTTTCTCCAAGTGTTTGGTAATCTTGTCTGTCTGTTGAGATTTATAAATAAAAGAGGAAGCCAGGCATGGTGGCACACACCTGTAATCCTAGCACTCGGGAGGCTGAGGCAGGAGGATCGTTGTGAGTTCGAGACCAGCCTGGGCTACAAAGTGAGCTCAAGGCCAGTTTCAACTGCATAGCGAGACCCTGTCTCAAAAAAAACAAACAAACCCAAAAAAATAAATAAATGAGGAGTAGATTGTTTAGTAAAGATAAATGACAGGTTTTTTTCATGCCTTCGGATAGGCAAAGTGACAACAGACTTTTGTGTACTTGAACATGATTGAAATCATTATTTTGTAGTTCAAAACAGTGGAAATATGTTCAAGTTAATATAAACTCATAAATAAAAGTGCGTATGTTGGTGGTGCATGTCCAAATTTTTCATTTATATGTTACAAAATGAACTTTGGAGTCTACTGCTACAATTTGAGCACAGGTCTTCTAACTAAGCAGATTTGAATCCAAATGGTGATTCTGGCAGCTACTTTATATTTTAAGATAAGTGACTTAACCGAGCTTCAGGTAACTTCCTTATAAGAGCACATAAATAAATAGGCTGCTGCTAAGCATTTTGTAAGAGTTAAAGTAGTTTCCTATCTTTCGAGATAATGCTATTAAAATAATATTACATAGATATAGAAAGTTTTAAAAATAGACGCTATGGCTATAGGTGGAATGTCACTTCTAATTAATTTTATGATCCGTAGAGTTATTTTAAGAGCTCCCTACGTGGCTAAAGAATTTTTAAAGAGGAGTCAATATAGACAGATGATTGGCAGAGCTGGTCGTGCCGGAATCGATAGCGTTGGGGAAAGCATACTCATACTCCAAGAACAAGACAAGCACAAGGTAATGCCCCATCTCACTGGCTGCCCCCCGCACCCTGGCCTTTGGGCTGGCCCCATACGTGATCATCTAGTTAAAACTAACGATTACTGTTTTTTATATATGCATCTGTCTATCTGATGAAAATCTGGGGAGTATAATTTGAAGATTTTTACATTTTAGAGATGAAAAGCATTTTCCCGATTCATCTTCCTTAATTTTATAAAGATATCTGGTAAATTCTCATTCTTTCATCTTTTCGGGTGGCTTGATTTGGTTTGGTCTGGATTCCTGTTGGCTTTATAAGATTTATACAAAGTGTGTAATCTTTATATAGAACACCATTTATTCTGGGTTTTTTTTTTTGGAGGGATTGTTTTCTTTTTAAGTTTTTGAGACAGGATCTCACCAGGTATCCCAGGCTGGCCTTGTACTTGTAGACATCTTCCTGCCTCAGCCTCCCGACTGCTGGGATTGTAGGCATGCACCAACATGCCTGATGGAACACCATTTATTCTTAATAACAAAACCTAATATTATAATCCTGCTTTAACGTCTGTAGGTCTTGGAGCTCATAAGCAGACCACCAGAAAACTGTTATAGCCATCTTGTCCAGCAGTTCACCAAGGGAATCCACACTTTGTTTCTCTCTTTGATTGGCTTGAAGGTACTTTTAAATCTTACTACTGTTGCCTGAGATAGTAAAATTTATGTAAATTCTGATTTTTTTGTTTGTTTTTTTTTTTTGGTCTTTTTGAGACAGCATCTCACTATGCAGTTCAGGCTGGCCTTGAGCTCACTTTGTAGCCCATGTTGGCCTCGAACTCGCAACAGTCCTCCTGCCTCAGCCTCCCAAGTGCTGGGATTACAGGTGTGTGCCGCCATACCCTGCTGTAAATTCTAATTGAACCGAATACACAGACCCTATCTCAAAGCCCCCCTCTCTAAATTGAAAGCTGTAAAACTGCTGAGAAAAATTTAAAAAGACTTCAGAGGAGAAAGATACCGTATCCATGAATTGAAGCAGTTTGCTATGTCCATATGTTACTCCTCAAATGGATCGATACGGTCTGTCTGATCCCAATAAAAAACTTGACAAATTTTTTTTTTTTTTTTTTGCTGGAAATTGCTGTATTTTGGTGGTAGGACTCAGGACTTCCCATGACACCAGAGCGCGCAGAGTAACTGGGAGACAGGGAACTGCCATGGCCAGAGGGGTGTGGTTTATCATCCTGGCCGGGCACGGCATTTCACTCAGATTGTTTCACTAACCGCGTACAGCCGCGAAAGTCCAAGCAGCCAGCAGTGCAGGAGCCCAGCAGGCAGCCAGCCGTCACCAGGCTGCTCACAGGAAGCAGAGCTCGAGCAACCAGGGCCCGGCCTGAGGAGGACCGGCCAGCGCGGCTGCTCCTACACCTCCCAGTGGAGCTCACCTGTGCTCTGCTTGTGGAGGAGGCTGGAGTTCTAGACGGGGATGACCACCAGGGACTCTGTTGGGTTAGAACGGAAGCAGAGTCAAGTCCTGGCGACAGGAACTACCGGGTGGGACGGGGTTAGAGGAAGGGCAAGTTCTTTGATTTGGGCAGTGTGAGGGCAGGAGATGAAGGTGAACGCCCGACTGCCCGTCTTCCCTCCCTGTGTCCAGCTGCACTCAGCCTCTGCCTGGGGTAACTAAGTCTCACTCGCCTTCAGGCTTTAGCTTAACCATCGCTTCCGCAGAAAGCCTTCTGTGTGCCTGCGTCCAGCCGTCCGCAGTTATGTGCTCCTTGCCTTCAGCAGCCCATCAGCCTGTCACTGTATTCTTGTTAGTACAGTTGTTTGGCTGAGAACATTGCCCGGCAGAATGTAAGCTCTGCAGAGCGAGGCTCCCATTTCTTGCCATCCATCCCTGAGTCCCAGCGCCTCGCCAGCGCTTGGCGTGTGGATGGATGGCACTCTGTAGATACCTGCATTATTGAAACTGACCGTGGAGTTGGGCCTGGCCGAACTTGCAGGTTGGGGCATGAATAAGAATCCAGCCTTGAGATGCTGTCAGGTGGGAGGCACAGACTAGCCTGGCAGGGTTCAGTAGCTATGTCACAAACCTTTTCAGGGAGGATGGAAAGATAACATGCACTGGGTGTGGTGGTGCACACCCATAATCCCAGCACTTTGGGAGGCTGAGGCAGGAGGACTACAAATTGGAGCCCAAACTGCGGAAGGTAGTGACTTAGCAAGACCTTCTCTCAAGAAATAAAAAAGGAGGGGTTGGGGATATAGCTCAGCGGTGCAGCACCTGCCTGGCAAGCGTGAGGTCCTGAGTTTGATTTGAAGTACCTCCCAAAAAAGTAATGAAAGGGGAAATATGTACTAGTAAAAAAATAAGAATTGAAGAAAAGGGCCAATAAGACCATGAAAAAAATTACAGAAATTGAAGAGGCTAGGGATGGAGCTCTGAGGAAAGGCCCGGGATTCAGTTCCCAGTACCACAAAAAAAGAAAAGTAAAGGGTCAAGGGAAGGTGCCACCCCCACCCGCCCCTGGCCTCCCACAGTGTCACCTCTGTCAGCTGGGGAGGCAGCAGCACAGACACTACGCTGGTGTCCCGGAGATTGAGCATCTGTCCTCACGTGCCTTCAAGTGTATTTTAGCTTAGTTGACTCTCACATTCAGAGTAAGCATTATTAAAAGGGAAGAGAGAAGCCATGGAACAAGGTCTGAGCCCCATAGGTTTTGTTTTTCCTTATATGGGCTTAATGTGCAATAGTAAATTACTCAGTGGAAGTATCCTCAGAACTGTAAGAAAGAGCAATGTGCTTATTGATTGGCCATATTTTAGTTTAACATGCTGATTTCTTTGAAATTGGCTAACAAATGATTATTCTAATGCAGAGTCAACTCTATCTGAACACCAAGTGGTATTTAAAATGCCTCTATAAAATTACGTACACCGCTGATTAGATTGATTTTATACTGGTCTTTTAAGTGAAGTTCCTCTGCTGTGTGGAATGAGTAGTCATCTTGCTTAGTGTACAGACCGTTGCCTCTCGCTAAGGAAAATGCTTCACTGATGTCCTAAATTGTTTCAGATCGCAGCAAATCTTGGTGACATATATAACTTCATGAATGGTACATTTTTTGGTGTTCAGCAAAAGATTTTATTGAAAGAAAAAAGTCTCTGGGAAATAACTGTCGAATCACTTAGATACCTGACAGAAAAAGGGCTCCTACAGAGAAACCCTATTTCGGAGTCTGCCGAAGAGTTGCAATGTAATTTTCATATTACAAAATTGGGGCAAGCTTCTTTTAAGGGTAAGATTCTACCTACATCTCATTATAACCTGAGGAACTGTACTGGGGAAAAATAAAAATTAGATCATTCTTTCTTTAAAGTGCATTTATAATTTCATATTAGTAACATCACTCTTATAAGCTGATAAGCTCACATAACTATGTCCACCTTTCTTTTAGGAGCGATAGATCTGGCTTACTGTGACACTCTCTATAGAGACCTGAAGAAGGGTCTGGAAGGTCTGGTGCTTGAAAACCTCCTTCATCTGATCTACCTGACAACTCCCTATAATCTGGTTTCTCAGTGTGACCCCGATTGGATGATATACTTCAGGCAGGTAAGAAGAGAGCATTTTTTGACTTAGCCTTTGCTTTTTAAGGATAGTATGATTTCTATCATGAGTATTTCCCTTTTTTCTCTATTAAAATATACTGTATTTGAAATTGGGCCTTTTGTCCTTCAGTTTTTAAAAATAATAATATGGCAACAGTGTCTTTGGTTTGACTTGAGTATTACTTTTCTGTTATATTTTTTTGTTTTGTTTTGTTTTTGTTTTTTTACCGGGAATCGAACTCACGACCTCGTGCTTGCCAGGCAGGTGCTGTGCCACTGAACTAAATCCCCAGCCCCTACTTTTCTGTTAAATATATTCATTATCAAAAGAAAAAAGAGGAGAGGATCATCCCTGGTCTTGTTTCCCCAGAGACAGTTCTGCCACGATTCATCTTCATGTCCGTAGTGTAAAGAAAGCAGGGGAAGCCATGGCTGATGACTGAGAATGTAGTCATCTGAAAGCTGTGTCAGTACCAAGCACTGTGATACCCTAGGCCCGAAGGCATTCATCACTACAAGGGAATATGCATTTGTAGCCATTAGCACGATGGAGCTGGCCCTTTGTAGCAAACAAAGCCAGGGCAGGGTACAGGCTACTGTGACTCTGCCGAGAACAGGCTGGCTGGATGGCTGAGTGCACACATACCAGGCAGGAGCAGCACACGGCGTTTTTCTTTGTGCTAAGGGTTTCACGGATGTGCTGTACCACTGGGTTACCCTCCCAGGCTCCTCGTCTTCAGCTTTGAATCTCAGGAGCTCTGCTTCTTTTTTTTTTTTAATACTGGGAATCAAACTCACCACCTCATGCTTACCAGGCAGGCGCTGTGCCGCTGAGCTACGTCCCCAGCCCTCCACTTCTTAATGTCATATTTGAAAATAACTGCCACAGGCCTGTTTTTAAAAGTGGTACTGTGTAGTGCAGTTACTTTAAAGACCCTTCGCTCTTTCCCCTCTCGCGGCCTTTGCCAGTGTTAAGCATTGTCATAGGCCATGGAGGCCGGCCCTGAGGCCGTGTCCTTAAGTACAGCGGTGGAGATGGGTTCTGGGAGATGCACTGTGGGTACCTGCCCCAGGGTGTGCGCCCCAGAGTGAACTTATATGAACATGGCGAGGGCGGCAGTAGCCTGTATGCTCTTCTCAGGCCACAATCATACGTGTGAGGAATGATCACAATACACATTGAGTGTGTAAATTTAAAAACATTCATTGCAGTAGCAGACGCTTTGCCAGGAACCCCTCTCAAAAGACTCCTGCTGCAAGTGCATTTATCCCGTCCTGCTTGCCACTCTGCAGCAGTTCTGAAAGTCCATTCAGGAGTGTCTTTTTGAGGTATAATCAGAATACGGTGAATGCCTCTGCCGAGCGCCAGCCGACAGAAAGTCAGGCTCACAAAAACGCGAAGGTGCGTCGGCATCCGCCTTGTTCCCTGGATCGGGTACAGGGGGACTTCTGACTCTTCCCCAGACTCACAGTGGCCAGGCAGGAGAAATGTTTTCAATCAAGTCAGAACAATAAATAAATAATTTAATGAATTCAGGGTTGAGGCGGCCACAGTAGCACAGCTAAATCCGAGAAGAGGACTTCAGCACTGCCGCATAAAGCGGCAAGAGAGATGGTGTAAGTGTGTTCAGAGCAGAGGAGATTATTATCATTCTGAGGGGGATTCATAGCAATGTGTCTCTCATAGCAGTGTGTCTTGTAATAAATTTTTAAAAAAATTAAACATCATATTTTTCAGTCACACCCAGTATGTGGTCCACTGTAGAATGAAATGTCATTTTGCCACTTAAGACTGTGATTCCACTAAACTATGTTATATTTTTTTTTTTTTTTTTTGTCTTTTTGACACAAGATCTCACTATGTAGTTCAGTCTGGCCTTGAGCTCGCTTTGAGCCCCAGCTGGCCTCGAACTCACAACAACCCTCCTGCCTCAGCCTCCCAAGTCCTGGGATTACAGGCATGTGCCACCATGCCCGGCAGCTATGTTATATCTAATGCTACATTTTTAAAAACTTGTGATACAGCAAGTACATTTACACCAGTTTTCATCACCTTTAAAATCATGAAAATGTGACCTCAAATAGGAGATGTGTTTCAAAGGATAGATTTTTCTGAAAGTGACAGTTTGGTTTGTTTAATTTACTCTTTTCTATGTAGATTAGCCAGCTCAGTCCAGCTGAGCAAAACGTAGCCACCCTGCTTGGTGTCTCTGAAAGCTACATTGCGAAGAAGGCGTCAGGCCAAGCCACCAGGAAGGTACCGAGGTGTTTTTTTCCTAAATGATGAACTAACTCAGCAAAATTAATATCATTCTATCATCTCCTTTATTGATTTAATCTTTTCATTTCACCTTCTAGTCCCGCAGTGTACGGAAGGCATTCTAGGAGGTTGGAGTAGATAAGCTAACACACTGTTATGTGATAGGCGTGAACTAAGTGTCAAATGCATAAGCTAATTTTATTTTTCTAAACTTTATTCTTTTTATTACTATGTACTTGTCATACATATTGATTACATCTATCACAGGAAATTTGTATGTGTACGTAACACATCTCAATTCTTTTTTTCCCATTCCTCTACCATCCCTTCAACTCTTCTCCTCCTCCTTTATTTGGGTTTTTTGTTTTTTGTTTTTCTTTTTGAGACAGGGTCTTGCTGTGTAGTTCAGGCTGGCCTTGAACTCGCAGCAATCCTCCTGCCTCAGCCTCCCGAGTGCTGGGATTACAGGCAAGCACCACCTTGCCCTGCTTCTGTTAATATTCAGTCAGTATATTTTGATTAAATTAATAAATATCTAAGGTAGTAGTAGCAGTAGGATATGAATTTATCTTAATTATGAATGAATTATTAGTTTAATACTTTAGAAGTATCAATACTGGGAATTTTAAAGAACATTATGTTTACTTGAAATCGAATTGATTTTGCCATATCAAAAAAGAAACCACTTCCCATTTTTAACAAGTCTTGTAAAAGATCTTAAAATTGATATCTTGCCATGCAAAAATTGTATCATTTTTCTTGGCTTAGGAAATGCATTCTAAGCAAAACCAACATTAGCTCAATTTATACTTAATAAAGGCACATTAAAATTGGAAAATTGGAAAGCTGTCTTATCCTACTTGCTATTCAACTCTTAACGCTTTTCATCTTAATGCTTTTAAAAAGAGTGATCCATTCTAACTTTCATTCCCAACATTCTTTTACTATAGCAGAAGATACAGTTTTGGTTCTGGTTTTGGTTTTGGTTTTTGACGCAGGCTGGCCTCAAACAGTCCTCCCGGCTCAGGCCTCCAAGTGCTGGGGCTGTAGGTACGCACCACCACACCTGGCTAGACAAACTCAGTTTTGTATTGTATACCTACTTTTTCACATTCGTTTTTTCTCTTTGATTTTAAGCATGAGTGAGTTTCCAAATTAGCTTGATACTAGCAATGAAATACTTTATGCAGTCAGTAGACACCACAGGAAAAGGAGATACGCAAAACAAATTGTTAGCTACAGGAAGCAATTTTCTCTCTCATTGTTTTAACTTTGGAAACATTAATTATTCCTCATGACTGTGTGGAAGTCGTAGCATAATCTTTACTCAGTTTACACTGTGGACAAGCTCATCAACTTATCTACGTGCATTTGTCTGACTTAGAACCACAGTCGTACGTATTCCCACTGTATAAGCACGACCGAAAATGTAGGAACCGCCCGGCTCCCTCTCTGTGCACCGTATTTCCTGGAGCTATTGTAACAAATTCCCGCCGTCCTGCAGCAAGATCTAGAACAACAGGCTCTGTGCAACTCTGCAGCACAGGGACTGCTTAGCGTCCTGAGGCCCTGGGTCCAGTCCCTGCACCAAAATACCCCAAAACAAATGTAGCGTCCCCCAACCCAGGAATCTGTCTTCTTCCGGTTTCGGAATGTCACGTAAAGCACCTATGTTAGAAATCAGATCTGTGTCTATGGAGTCATTCTGTTCCCGCCGCCTGCACTGCAACTCCATTCAGTTCAACTTTTGTCCAATTTGAATATAACATGTACTTTTCCGTACATTCATTGGTGTCTTTCTAGAAAGTGGACAAGGACATTGTCAACAGGCTCTACCTCTCCCTTGTCCTCTATGCCTTGCTCAAAGAGACCAGCGTTTGGAGCGTGTCTGAAAAATTCAATCTTCCTCGAGGATCTATACAAAACCTGCTCGCTGGCGCTGCCTCCTTCTCGTCCTGTGTGTTACATTTCTGCGAGGTAAGGCCACTGGAGTGCTGATGTGTGCTGTGTACCTCTTGAGCTAACTGTTACGACGTCATAACTAATCAGGGGCCGGGGATATAGCTCAGTGGCACAGGCGCCTGCCTGGCAAGTGCAAGGTCTTGAGTTTGATTCCCGGTACCACACACACACAAAGAAAACTAATCAGCGTGCTGTCATGTTGACTTATGTTATTTCAGAGCATTCACAATTTATTTCAAGTCTATCTTTGTTTATATCGGCTTGCAGCATACTATATACATTTTTGTGGTAAACTTAAAGAAATTACTGAATCAACTGAAACAATAGAGAAGTAGTACCAAGTTCATCCTACTTTTAGGGCCACCATTAATAGCTTCAGGTGTTTAGAATTAACTGTTAAAAAACCATTTTTCATTCTGTCGATTCTGTGTAAATAGCCCTCGTGTGCGAAGTGCCTCAGACGCTGGCAGAGTGCGTGAGCCTCCCCGCAGCTCAGCCCCGTTTTCCTGACCGCCACAGCAAGGGCCATATGTGTCAGGTTTCTACAGCAAACGTTTATTTTCTAAAATAATTCAGAACTTTAGTTTGGCCCTGTGTATTTGAGATGGATTTAAGACTCTAATTAAAAATAGATCTTGAAATTTGCTTAAATAGAGCTCAACGAAGTTAACCAGACTTTCCAACGTTGACAATTTTTAAATTAAATTTATAATGCAAGCCATTTTTCTGCTACATTTACATTTCTCCTTATTGAGGGCATAGTAAGTTACCCTTCCTATATTTTCCATACTCAGTTTTTTAAAACTTTCCTGCATGAATTTTTTTGTTTTGGCTTGGTTTTTGTTTTTTGAGACAGGGTCTCACTATGTAGTTCATGCTGGCCTTGAGCTCACTCTGTAGCCCAGGCTGCTCTCAAAATTGTGACGATCCTCCTGTCTCGCCTTCTGAGTGCTGGGATTACAGGTGTACATCACCAGCTCTGTTTTCTAAATTTAAAGATTGCTTCAGTTTCCCTCTCTTAACCCTCCCTATTCTGTGTATGTCTGTGATGATTCCATCACATGTGCTAATGAAGGAAGCGAATACTCAAAAGTATTGGATTAAAAGATCATTATTTCAGCAAATTCATCTTTCTAAACATCCTTTACTAGCTTGATTTTTAAATGTTAATTTATATTACCTAAGTATATGCTAGTTAAACAAACAAAAATTATACACATTAACATATTTTCTTAAGTTTTTCTGTGTATTGTTTCTTATAGTACTTAAAGATGCTCTCTTGATAGTCTTTCCCTTTGTTTCATGAAGGACTATGAGGATTTGAGCCTTACAGAACTGTTCAAGGAAAACAGTCTGTGTATAGAACTTGAAAACACCTATAATTTGATGGCTGAGCCTAAGGAAAAGCCTAGATGACCACTTGTGCTCTCAGTGAGGTATTCTCATACTTCAGAGTGCTTTTTATTTTAAAAAGTCATGTAAGTGGGGGCCGGGCATCGTGGCGCACACCAGTAATCTCAGAACTCAGGAGGCTGAGGCGGGAGGATCATTGCGAGTTCAAGACCAGCCTGGGCTACAAAGTGAGCTCAAGGCCAGCCTGAACTGCATAGCGAGACCCTGTCTCAAAAAGACCAAAAAAAAAAAAAGTCATAGAAGTGGTATGAAAAGGAATTCCAGTAGGATTAGCAAAGATGATTTTTAACTACAAGGACTAGAAAAAGGCTCCACAGAAGTTTAACTGCAACAGCAAGCAGAAACACCGAAATGACACCCAGGACTTGGAGGCAGATTTATTTTACATCAACGGGCACTGATCAGGATCATTCCCAGAATATCAGGCTCCAGAGGCCTGGGGAGGGAAGTTCTAATGGAGTTGAAAGGAGAAGGACAGAGGCAGAGTTCTTGGCTGTTGTTGATTGGTTCTTACAGTATACATCATAGTGACCAGCTGTGCATCAGTGAGCAGCCCTTTCTAGGAGACAGAAGTAATAGGAACTGTTACCTGGGCAACTGACAGACTGGCTGGGGGCATTTTCTGCTACATAACCCGTGAGGGAGATGATAGTCTTCTGTGACAAGAGGCAGCTCCAGGGTTGGTGGTAGCAGCAGCACTACTCCAGGTTTTCTTCCTGCCCTTCCATCTGGATCTCACCCGCTGCTTCCTCGCTGGTCACAGAGTGGCTAGCAGATGCTGTTGCACGAACCACATGTTCCCACCGTGACTCAGAAGCCAGAAAGGGACTTCTGGTTTGGTTTGGTTTGGTTTTCGCAGTGCTGGGAATTGAACCCAGGGATTGCTAAACTACATTCTTTTTATTTTTTTTTATTTTTTATTTTTTTTGAGACAGTCTCATTTAGTTGCCCAGATTGGGATCAGACTTGTGATTTTCCTGCCTCAGCCTCCTGACTAGCTGAGAAAACTATAACCAAAAATTTCGAACACACATATTTTTAAAAGGCAAACTAATATGATGAACTCCCACTACCCACCTGACTTGAAAATTTACTGACTCTTGATTTCCAGTATTTGTACATTTAAATAATGATACATTGAACATCATCTTGCAGTTGAATCTTTTATATCTAATATTTTGTGTTGAGGATAAATTCTGAGGTAGGGTTTGTTTTTACTTGAGAAAGAAAAACTACATTGACTTCCTGATGTTTTGATGAAAACGAATAGAGTTCTTCTAGACTTACTTTTCTTTTTTTTCTTTTATTTCATTTTTAAAATTTTTATTTATTTATTTTTTAATTGGTACCAGGGATCGAACTCAGGACCTTGCACTTGCTAGGCAGGTGCTTATGCCACTGAGCTACATCCCCAGCCCCGGACTTACTTTTCAATTTGCAGTCCTTTCTCTCCTAAAACCAGTCCATCAGATTCCTCCTGGTTTCTGCCATGTCTGCTCCTCGTATTTGGCTTAGACTCGTCTTTCCTTCCAGCTTCGCCAAGTTCCAGCATTTGCATGGGGGAACATCTCTCCAAGCCCCTGTCCCACAAACTGGACTTGGAAATATGCTCCGAAAGTTACATTTCTGTATTTTCTGTGTCTCACAGGAGCTTGAGGAGTTTTGGGTTTACAGAGCCCTGCTGGCGGAACTTACCAAGAAGCTGACGTACTGCGTAAAGGCAGAGCTGATCCCGCTCATGGAAGTCTCTGGAGTCTTAGAGGTCAGTAGCTTCCGGTTTCCCTAGTGAGATTATTTCTGTTAACTGAAAGATCAGCTTTTACTATTCCCTGAAGTTGGCTGCAGCGCAAGTCATGGCAAGAGCCTTACTGCTTATTTGTCAAACCAGGCTTCTTTATTCTTTTAAAATAAATTGCTGCCACGGCCTCCCAGAAATCCACTGTTTTTTGTTTTTGTTTTTGTTTTTTTTGTCTTTTTGAGACAGGGTCTCGTGATGCAGTTCAGGCCAGCCTTGAGCTCACTTTGTAGTCCAGGCTGGCCTCGAACTTGCAACGATCCTCCTGCCTCAGCCTCCCAAATGCTAGGATTACAGGTGTGCGCTACCACACCTGGCTTCAGAAATCCACTGTTAATTGGGGAGCAGACCCGGTAAAAAGCCTAGTTGTAAAGCAATACACAACAGTAGGAGTAAGGGGATGGTCCCCAAGAATGAGCGTGCTACCACTGGTCCTTAGAACTTCGTCCTTCTTCCACGCCAGTGAAGACTCACCTTGTGAGAGTGTGGACTCTGCTTGTTTATGATAATGTTGATTCGGTGGCAAGGAGCCATTTGTTCCCTAAAAGAGTGAGAATAAAAGGCTGTCGGCTGTTTTCAGTCAACCCTCAACTTCAGTTTATTCTCAATATTTACCTCTTAGGACTGCATAGGAAATCTGCACACACGCGTGCACACCATTGATCCCTGAGTAGGTGCCGAGAACATTTTCAGATTATTGTCATTAACAGAACATTGGACTGCAGTGTTTTGCTTGCAGACCTGAAATAGTGCCACTTGCCTAAATGCCTTAATGGGTTTCTTGCTCCTGACTTTAGCACACATTAGCTTACTTTAGCTTCCTTGCAATCAGATTGCAACTACCTAAATCATCTTTGAAACCTCTTCGAGATTCTGATCTCTTCATATTTACTTTGTTATCTTAGTTTATTCCTGTTTCTTTTTTTTCCTTATCTCAAATTCTGATCCTTCTCATTTCTGTGACACTTTCCAGGGTCGAGCAAAACAGTTATACAGTGCAGGTTACAGAAGTCTAATGCACTTGGCCAGCGCTGACCCCGAAGTGCTGATAAGGACAATCGATCATTTATCACGACGCCAAGCCAGACAAATTGTTTCATCTGCAAAGGTGGGCAAGAAAGCACTTTCTATGGTTTGTAGTATTAACTCCTTATACTTTACACGTCAGAGCCATATACTTAACATCACATAGCAGTTTATTTTTATAGACATAGAAATACACACCCAGAACTAGGTGTGGTGGCACATGCATGTAATCCCAGCACTCAGGATGCTGAGGCAGGAAGATCACTGCAAGTTCAAGGTCAGGCTGGGCTACATAGCAAGATCCTGTCTCAAAAAACAAGAAATACAGGATCCCTCACCTATCTTGGGACTTACATTCCAGAGACCCCAGCAATAGGTGAAAATCTGCAAAGTAGCAGCATTATATTTATTATTTATGTATATTTTAAGGCTTTATAAACCCTTCCCACACACCTAGATACACTCCTTTATAATTAGATACACTCCTTTATAAACCTTTCCCACTCCTACTAACCTTTCCCACATGCTTATAAACACTTCATAAGCTCTTAAACACTTTCTATACTCATAAACCTCTGTAATTTTAACAACATGTAAAATTTATATGGGTA